ACGGGCTCATGGAAGGACCAATATCGCCAAGTGCCAACCTCCCGTTTTGCCCCGTTCCCCATCACCTCTGGAATGGCTCCATGCCTGCACCTCATCTCAGGGCAAAGAATTCCAAGCCGCCAGCACTCGCTGGGTCAAAAGTTCCATCTTTTTCCCACCATCCTTGCTTCAGTTACATGTCGGTCAGGTCCCCCTTGAACCTGTCCCTTTTCTGATTGGGATCCTCCCGATCAACTCTGTCCACGTGCCCCCTCCTCCTGATTTTGAGCTGGGTTGGGAGATCTCAGCCGACTTCTCTCCAATAAGAACAGTGCCCTTTTTGAAGGGAGCATTAGCGTGCTGTTCGACGAGGTGTGCCATCATCCAGTCCGATCCCCAGCAGAGGAACGTGGCACCGTGAGGAGCGGGCACCTGTCTCTGAGACAGGGTGACGAGGGTTTTGCTTGTCACTACGTATCCAGAGTCATTAAGACCCCCTCAGCGCTGACTCTCTGACACTGCCCTCTCCCTCGGCGCTGACTCTCTGACACTGCCCTCTCCCTCGGTGCTGACCCTCTGACAGTGCCCGTTCACTAAGCGCTGACCTTCCGACAGCACCCGTTCCCTCAGCGCTGACCATCTGACAGTGCCTGCTCCCTCAGGACTGACCCTCCAACAGTGCCCGCTCCCTCAACCCTGACCCTCCGACAGTGCCTGCTCCTTCAGCGCTGACCCTCCGACAGTGCCCGCTCCATCAAACCCAATTCAGGAGGAGGGGATGAGGCAACGCTCTGAAAAGATTCTGCCTCTTCGAAGCAAGGAGTGTGAGTCATGCATGAAACTGGCAACAGTCGACAGTTCCCTCCTCAATCGAAACCCTATTCAAAGGGCTGTGTGAACGAGACTTTCCCCTGGCATGTTTGAGCATGGCTCTGGAATGGGAACAGGCACGTCAGTGGACTCCCTGGAAGACAGAGAGCTCGGTTTTCCAGTGCAGTGCTGGGTCTGTCGGAGGGGGGAACACGCTCCAAAGATCCAGCAATTCCGATCAAGTCCGAACTGCCTTCCCCTCATCTCCCAGACCCCCAGGACCGTTGACCCTCCGTCTCTGAAACTGAACTGCGGGCACACTCTCAAGCAATTGCTCGTAACTCAACACCAAGGGTTTGGGCTTGGTGGGCTAATGGTTCACCGAATCCGATTCCATTTGGGATTCATTCCATCCGGATACTGCCTGCCACCATGAAGCGGATTTTCTGCTCACCCACAGTGAAGAGCACAGTATGTATCTGGATGTTCCGTGCCCTCCTGCTCTGATGGAGCTCTGCAGCTGGGCACAGCCAGCGCTGCCCACACCCCCTGACCCCGTCTCAGTGCCCACTTCTCCCGCCAGTGAAACGGGGACAGACGCTTGGGCCGCGGGTTGCCCGGACAATGCGGCTTGGCTGCTGCGCAGCAATGGCTAACGGAAGGATGGTGCTGAGGGAGCAGGCACTGTCGGAGGGTCAGTGCTGAGGGAGCAGGCACTGGCGGAGGGTCAGTGCTGAGGGAGCGGGCACTGTCGGAGGGTCAGTGCTGAGGGAGCGGGCACTGTCGGAGGGTCAATGCTGAGGGAGCGGGTACTGTCGGAGGGTCAGCACTGAGGGAGCGGGCACTGTCAGAGGGTCAGTGCTGAGGGAGCGGGTACTGTCGGAGGGTCAGTGCTGAGGGAGCGGGCACTGTCGGAGGGTCAGCACTGAGGGAACGGGCACTGTCAGAGAGTCAGGGCTGAGGGAACGGGCACTGTCGGA